CAATGCTGGGGCCTTGCCTTGAAGGCAACTTTCTTATTGTATAGGTAAAAAGTTTCTCTCTATTGGCTTTATTGCTTTAACAATTACAGCCTCTTTATTCAAGTTCACCCTGGCTTCAACTTTCACAGGGTTCAAGCTCCTTTTCTTGCCCAATCATACTTTTCTCAAAGCTTCCTGCCCACTTTCTGGGCCCTCTGTCACTTTGGTAAATGCACTAAGCAGTAGCCGTAGCCATTGGTTGTTATGCTGTCTTGAAATTTCCTCTACTAATCAATTTAGTCCACTATGTCTGAATTCAACTTCATTCAAGTTTTTAGAAAAGCACAAAATATAGATTCTTTGCCAAAATATAACGCAAATGGCCTCTAGTCCAGTTCCCTTTAGAGTCCGGTATCCCTCTGAAACCCAGCCTCACTGCCTTCAACCTTAACAGTACTCTGGTCTTCCAAACACCCACCACCCTGGTGGTGCAGACCTTTAATACCAGTCCTCAGGAGGCAGAGGCAGGTGGATCTCTGTGAGATTGAGGCCAGCCTGGTCTACATAGCAAGTTCCAGACTAGTTGGGGCTTCAGGAAGACCCTGTCTCAACCGCCCCCCGCCCCCCCACAAAACACTCCAAAAAGTCTCCCAAACAACCACCAAACTCCCACCAGAGTGGCCCACTAAGCTCTGCTGTAAGCATTCTTGTAGTTTTCCTGTTGCTGGGACAAAGTATTCGACTAGAAGTACATTAGAGGATTTATTTTAGTTCAGTTTCATGATGGGGAGGCATGGTGGCTGGAACTCTTCTAGCCTTCGTTTGAGAGCTTATGGCTGCCTACATTGTGACAGCAGATGGAAATCAGAGAGAAGACAGGAAGTGGGCCAGAATATAAAACTGGTAACCCCCAGTTACCTACTTCCTACAGGTAAGTTCCACTTCCTAAATGTCCCACAATCTCCCAAATCAGCATCACCAGCTGGGGACTCCAGCATTCAAACTCAAGCCAGTGGGGGGCATTTCATATTCAAACCATGACAAACACACCTAGCCTTTGTTAATAAGGTGGTTTTCAGAGGCTTTATGGGCTCAGGTGCTTTCTTTGCTTGGAGGTAAAGACAAGTCCGGACAGAATCTGTCACTCTTCCTGGAAGGGTGCCTGACTGTCACCAGGGCCCCTAGAGAACTGCAGGGATTGAACATGGATAGGAGAGAGTGGGAAAACATAGATGCTGTCTCTGCTTCAGGTGGGGGTTGGAGTCAGAGTTCTATGGAAATGATAATCAGAGTCAAAGTACTGTCAAAGAAACAACTTCACAATGGTAGGTGACGAATCTTTTTGTCACTGTAAGCAATGGCAACGCTACTATTAAGGTGCCATTCAGTTTGGGCCTTGGAAAGGCTCCCTCACAACCAGAACATTACTGGCTCATTAGGCCTTCAGGTTCTGACAAAAGGATGCTTAGTCGAAATGCCTTGCTGTTTGACAATGGTCCTAAGGTCCCAAGAGAGGAAGAGAGAGGCCCTAGTGAAGTCTCGAGCTGAAACTGCCCTCTTAGACTTGCCTCATGTTCTCTGCACACTGGCTTTGGTCTCTGTGCTTCAGCCTCGTGGCTCATGTTTTTTTCATTTGTGAAGTAAAATAAACAACAACAGTCACCTGAGGTGTTATGATAGAAAAATGCAGTGCCGAGCACCTGTCAATGTGTGTTTCATAAGAACCCTCTATATGTAAGAGCATAGAAATTTTTTTTTAAATGTCCTTTATCTTATCTTTTATGAATTCTATGACATTGGGGAATGCAATCACTATGGTTCTGATAATATATAGTATTGTTCTAAAGATTCCAAAACTGGATACCAGAGGCTGGAGCACAAATTAGGAGCCTCCTCAATGCTGAATCTAATAATTTCTGACCTAAAGGGAGAATGCGGAGTAAGGAGACAATTTAGAAAGTGCAAAATGCTAGTTTTAAAACAGTCATGTAACTTAAAATAATATGTATTCAAGACTTCTATGGTCTCTAGCACAGCATTTCCCCAGGGGATTGGGACATATCAGCCTGGGTGATAAACATCCCTTTGCCGAGGGGTATCCTTGACAACCAAAGGATAATTGCTCAGAAACAGGTGCCTTCTGGTAATAAAGGGAAGTCAAATACAAGTGAGGAATCATTCTAACTAATTTCAGAAAGGCCAGGGACTAAACCCTTAAGTTCAGGGGGAATTCTCAGGCTCTTGGTGGTGAGGAGTGGTCGCTCACCCAGTGTGGCATCTCATATGATGAAGCCAAACTCCGAACACATCCAGGGAGAGTCCTAAGAATCTGTTCACTGAGTCTTGTCAGCAACATCTGAATGTGTGCGGGGAGAACATGTGAGCTATCCATACTTGAAAAAGGGAGATTCTCTAGAGAAATAGCTACAGACCTAGATGCCACTTAGTCAAGCCCAGGAGTGTTACTTGCAGGGTCACTTATGAAAGCAGATCCATCTGTAGGAAAATGAGGGTGGACCCATAATTCCTCAATGAACTGGGAATGGAAACTCTCTTTTGGAATCCTCCAGGGTGAGTGGGAATTTATGCTTAGCCAACAACCGAGAATCCCACAGTGGGGATAAGGCAAAAGCGGGGACCTTCCTAGTGAAGTATGGCCCAGGTGACTAGTAATACTAATGGATATTCTGTGCAAAATGTATATGTGTTGGGGGTTAGAGTTGAGGGAGCCTCTGTGTAAAAGGAAATAAACATAATTTTCTTGCCGGACATGGTGGCACACGCCTTTAATACCAGCACTTGGGAGGCAGAGGCAGGCTGATTTCTGTGAGTTCCAGGCCAGCTGGGGCTACAGGGAGATCTTGTCTCAAAAAGATCAAGAGAAAAATTCTTTCCATTGATATTTTTTTATTCATTAAATAAATGTAAGAAATTATTGTGGAGTTTTTTTTTTTTGTGTGTGTGTATGCATGTATGTATGTGTGCATGTACGTGTGTGTGCATGCGCGCACACATGTGCCAGTGTGTGGAGGCCAGAGATTGACATCAGGTGTCTTTCTCAATCACATTCAATTTTATGTACTAAGGCAGAATCTCACTTGAACTCAGAGCTTGCCAATTTGGCTAGCGTAGCTACCTAGCATGTCCTGGGGATCCTGTCCCTGCCTTCTGAGTACTGGAATTATAGGCAAGAACTTTACCCACCGAGTCTTCTCCCCAACTGCATGCTGTAGAGTTTTTATGGAAAAATACAGAAACTTATAAAGGAGAAAGTTAAAAACCACAATACTATAATACCCAGAAGTATTGTATGAGTGTTGACAGGAGCTGGAAATGAACATGGAAACGTGAAAATAATGTAGTGAGACAGGATATTTACCCCCTTTTTCCTGATTTCTATTCTATGCACAATGTATGTGTGTTGGAGGTTATAGCTGAGGGAGCATGCGTATAAAAGGAAGTAAAAATTTTTCTTTCCATTGCTCTATTTTTATTCATTAAGTAAATAGAAGAAATTATTGTGGAGGTTTTTGTATGTGTTTGTGGTTCCTTCTAATCCTTTTAATGGAAATACACAGGTAAAGGAGAGCTACAATATATTGGTAAATTTTAGAAATTTAGAATGCAATTTTATATGCTGTCTTGTACCTGTTATCTTCACTTTATATATACTGAGCTTTACTTTTAGAACATGATCTCATAAGTGACCAAAAAATTCCTTATTTTCCACTTTTATCTTATTCTATGTTTAGCAACAACAAATACCTTCATTATCAGTATACATCATGTTTGTATGGATTTCTATTTCTTCCCTCAAGGAAACTACTTTGGGGTAAAGTCACATGATCAAAGCTCTACGCATTTTTCAAGATCGAATACTTTTGCTGGGCTGTATCCTGAGAATATTATGAATTTTTACTCCATGGAGAGATGCTTGAATGGGGCTGAGAGGAGGACTGGTGGGGGTACGACTGAGAAACAGAGTAAACTGACCCAGTAAGAGATTTGTTCTGAGATTTGTTCTGAGCTGGGTCTAGTAAGAAAGTAAGAAGAGGTGTGGCTCAGTCGTAGAGCACTTGCCTGACATGTACAAAAGCCTAGATTTAATCGAGAGAGAGAGAGAGAGAGAGAGAGAGAGAGAGAGAGAGAGAGAAGAAAGGGGAGAGAGAGGAGACAGGGGACAGAGGGGAGAGAGAGAAGAGAGAGGAGAAAGAGGAGAGAGAGAAGAGAGAAGAGAGAGAAGAGAGGAGAGAGAGAGAGAGGAGAGAAACGGGGAGAAGAAAGAGAGAGGATTCTTAAGAGAACCCTGGGACATGAACCTGAATCTGTAAAGTGGGTGCTGAGGGTAATAATTCATTTGGAAGTAAAGGGTAAAGAAAATCAAGCACAAGAAAAATGTGCATTGAACTCAAATGACCTTTCGTAATTTTTCTAACGTAGCTTGGTAGCATCCTAATCATCAACGGAAGTAACTGAGACCTAGAAACTGACTTTCTCATCACCACAGTAATAAAAATGGTAGAATATAGATTCAAAATTATGTTACCTATTCCAAATTCCTTAGTTTTGCATTCACATTTTCCATATCTGTAAAGAGAGAGCTTGGCGCACTGTCACCTCTAGGCACTTTATGGTGGAGCAGGATGCTCTCGTCATCTTTGGAGTGAGAGAAGCTCCCACCAAGGAGGCTATAGTGAGAATGAATGAAGATGACAATGATAAGAGGAAAGTTATAGTTTCTACAAAATGAAATAACTCTTTAACTCAGAACACTATTCTGTCATTTATTACTGCAAAGCATAAGGGGAACATTCAGGAATCGTTTCACAAAAGATTACTCAGCTGCTAGTTCAGATCCATAAATTGCAAGTGATTGCGAAGTCTGTGATTGATTGAAATGTGAAAATTATGCAGCAAGTAGTGGCAAGCCCAGTCTACTGGGACACACACATAAACACACTAACGCCCTATCAACATGCTTCAGTTAAAACGTGTAATTTCCTCAAACTCACCTTATTAAAATGGCCAGTAGAGAGATATGCTTGGTTCTAGGATTTCTGACGTTTTTGTGGGCTGAATTGGGTGGTCAAAGCAGGCAACAGGAGGAACCAAAATGCAGGTTGATGGGCAAGTTTAATTTGAGTGGATATGTAGATGCCAAAAACCATTCACTTGTTATTGGAGGACTATTTCCCATTCACTCCAGGATCATCCCGGCCGATGAATCTGTCTTGGAGCCAGTATCTGCCATGTGTGAAGGGTAAGCCATTGTTTCGTCTTCTTTGCACATCAGTTCAAGTGATTGGGGAGGAGTGGTAGCATGGGGCCTGGGTCTCCAACTGGATTCTTGATGCTATACAGAACATTGCTCCTCAGAGGGTGCCCTGTGGACCAGCAGCATCAGCAGCATCTAAGAGCTGTCTAGACATGTAGAATCAGGAGCTGCATCCCAGTCCTGCTGAATCAGAATCTGACATGATCTCTTGCTTTGTGTGTGCATCGAGGTGTGAGAAGCAACTGATGCAAAAGTGTGCAGCATTCCAGCTTTACTGATAATTGTTTAAGACTAAAATTCTCTTCCAGTGACGTATGATCAGGGGAACATGGCTTTATTTCTGAGCAAAATCTAGCTCAGCTTCTGGAAGGCGTCTGTGCTTACTGCTCTCACCTCCAGGTTGTCTTATCAGGAGATCCATGCCTGAGACTAGAATTTGCTAGAAATCCATTGTGAGAAATGTAAAGCTGGGATGATCTCTCTCTCTCTCTCTCTCTCTCTCTCTCTCTCTCTCTCTCCAGGTTAGATATGAAAAGGAACTAAAGTGAGAAAAGCCGTTGCCAACAGTTTATTACCATCAGAAAGCAGCTCTTCATTTCTCTGTGTTCTTTCTTGGTCCTTTGCAAAGGCTTCTATAGCCCTTAAACCATTGTGACTGTGACATCAATATAATTTCAGCTGGATATTTTACCTAATACAGTAAGCATTTCCATGATGTTGCATGGACATGATCACTGTAGATGCATATTATAAAGGCTTTCACTGTTTCTTTTATCATTAAATCTTCTTTGATCGATATTCCTTTTGATCTCATTTCATACTCTATAATTGAGATGCCACCGAAGAAAGGAATCATCTCTTATGTCTTTGAGAAATAGAAGGTTTACAATGGGTCCCTTCCTCAACTCAGCAGTCGTTTTTCCATTCTTACAATGAAGCAAAGGGAATAAAGGAAGAAGTGGGATTTCACTTACATTATTGCAGTCGTTATTATTTACTACAGGAGTTTTTACTTCTTTAATCCCTAATAACTTGGAACAAAACCAGAGCTCGTCATAATTTTATACACTAATTTTTATAGATTGAATTACTTAATTTGTTCTCCACTCTTCAATAGAACTTCTAGAGTTTCATTTACCAGCAACATTAGATGGAAGAGCTAATACACAGATTTTAAATATAAATTCTTCTTCTAAGATAATTTGATATGAGCACTATAGTTGAAATGGGTGAAAAGTCAATTTATGCCCTTTAAAAATAATTCCCTTGGGGCTGGAGAGATGGCTCAGTGGTGTAGAACACTGATTGTTCTTGCAGAAGACCCGGATTTGAAACCCAGCTCCCACATGGCAGCTAACAACTGTCCATAACTCCAGTCCCAGGGGATCCGACAGCCTCTTCTGACTTCCGCAGGCATTGCACAACACGGGTGCACTTAGCTACATGCAGGCAATACATGCAAACACATAAAATAAAAATAATAAAATTTAAAAATTCCCTCAATATTATATTGGGATTTGTCTAATTATCGAAATTAGGATTTGAGTGACTATATTATTTTTTATAATGTTAAAAATACATTTCTTTAAAATTAGATCTTTATACCTACCTTTCATTAGTAGCTGTAACAGCTCCTACTACCACTATAGCCCCAGTGTTTGCTAAAATGGATAAAGAAGGATTATTTTAATATTGTTTTGGGTGATACTTGGAAAAGGAGGATTTAGGTATTGGGGAAAATTGTGAAAACTGTAAGGGAAATTAATGAATGAAGGAAAATTTACCACCAATCCCATCTTTTCAATGAGTATCCTGTGACAATTTAAAAAATCTCCCTATTAATCTTTAACCAAGTGTTCATATCCTTTATATGTAGTTTTAGTTATAGAGAGTTTACATACTGCCTATTTCATTATTATATTCACACCTGTGCCTCATTTCTTTGATAAAAGCTTAAGAAAATTCTTTAAAAATTCCTTCCTTCCTTCCTTCCTTCCTTCCTTCCTTCCTTCCTTCCTTCCTTCTTTTTATTTTATGCATATGAGTGTTACACTTGCATGTACATAAGTGCACCTGTGTTGTGCAACACCTGAGGAGGACAGAAAAGGGTATTAGATCCTGTGGAACTGGAGTTATGATGGTTGTTAGCTACCATGTGGGTGCTGGAATTTGAACCCAGGTCTTCTGCAAGAGCAGCGAGTGCCCTTAATCCCTGAGCCGTTTCTCCAGCTCCTTAAAAACAATTTTTAAAAATTGTTTTGCCTGCATGTATGTAGGTGTACCATGTGTACAATACCTGTGGAGGCCAAAAGAGGGTGTCAGATACCCTGGAACTGGAGTTACAGATGAGTTAGCTGCCATATGGGTGCTGGGGACTGAACATGGGTCCTCTGCAAGAGTAGCAAGTGTTCTTAACTTCTGAGCCATCTCTCCAGCCCCTAATGATAATTTTTTAAAATTATATTTTATTATTTTTATTCTATGCATATGAATGTATTGCTTGCATTTATGTAAGTACACCCATGTCATGCAGTGCCCACAGAGGTCAGAAGACGATGTCAGATCCTCTGGAACTGGAGTTAGGACAATTTTTAAAAAATTTTATGTAATAATCACATGATTAGAGAAAGCATTTCATTACAATAGCATTGACATATTCAATAACAATTTCCAGAGCAAAGATACATCTCTTTCAAAACTGGCTGTAATTTTTACATTCACAGTTGAATTAATACAGTTATATAATATTATACTCAATACAAACCCTATAAGACATAAAATTGAATGAGGTTTTAACCTTTAAAAAGATCTCCATTTCATGTAAAAATATACTGTTTCCAGCTGGGTGTGGTGGTGCATGCCTGTAATCCCAGCACTTGGGAAGCAGAGGCAGGTGGATCTCTCTGAGTTCAAGGCCAGCCTGGTCTACATAGTGAGTTCCAGGACAGCTGGGGCTACAGAGAGACCCTGCTTCAAAAAGACTATATATAACAAACAAACAAACAAAAAAGCAAACAAACAATTACTCTAAATGCACTTAAAAAGACAGGGGCACTGACTGCAATGAGGAAGCAGCTGAGATTGGAAAAAAAAAAAGTCAGCATTTTAATGGTAATGTTTTCACCTCTACTAATTAATATGAAGCAAATTTTTATGCTTCTTCCTCAAATATAACTCATTTTTTATACCCACATCCCAAATGGCACCCTCCCATAGCCGCCCCCACACTGGAGCCCATATACAGTGTCATCCCTGTTACTGTCCACTTTTTGTCGGCGCCCCCAGCCATTCCCCAGTGCTTGTCCATCTGCTGAATCTAGTCAGCCTATCTGCAGATCCTTGTTTTAGGAAGATCAGCTCTTCCTGATCTAGCAGCAATCAGTTGCCAATATTCCTTTAGCTAAGATTGGGGTCTGCTGTTCATTTTCCTAGTTCTTTGCTGGGTTACTGTCTGGGAGTCTCTTGGGCCACCCTGGCCAACAACTCAAAGGAAGGTATCCTGTCTGGCACTGTTTCTTGTTATGTAGCCTTTAGCTATACACATGGACTCTTAAAGAATTATATTGACCTCTTTAGTCTTTGGTTATACTTTTGGGTGTTTTCCTTTACGTCCCTGGCTCATTTTCATTATCCTGGCTCCTGTAGTGATGTCTGGATACATAGTCACTTATAACGATTTGGTGCTAGGATCCACATATGAGGGAGAACATATGTCATTTGTTTTTCTGAGTCTGCATTACTTCACTTAGTATAAGAGTTTATAAATCCATCCATTTACCTGCAAATTTCATTATTTCATCTTTCTTTACTGCTGAATAGAACTCTATTGTGTAAATATACCACATTTTTGTTAACCACTCGTCAGCTGAGGGGCACTTAGGTTGCTTCCATCTCTTAGCTGTTGTGAAAAGATCAGCAACAAACATAGATGTACAAGTGTCTCTGCATTAGGGTGAGTTCCTTGGGAATATGCCAAGGAACGGTATAACTGGGTCAAATCGTAGATTCATTTGTAGTTTTTTAAGAGTTCTCCATACTGCTTTCCATAGGGGTTTCACAAGTTTGCAATCCCACCAGCAGTGGATAGTACTCACGTTTCCCCACATCCTCTCCAACATTTGGAGAACATTTGTTCTCTTGATCTTAGCCAGTCTGACTGGGGCAAGATGAAATCTTAAAGTGGTTTTAGAGAGGCATCTGAATTAAATGATACCATACATCAAATGAACCTAACAGACATCTTTCGATTATTCCACTCAAACACCAAAGAATACACTTTCTACTCAGCATCTTATGGAACTTTTTCAAAGATTGGCCACATACTGGGCCACAAAACAAACCTCAACAAATACAAAAATATTGAAATAATTCCATGCATTCCATTGGACCACAAAGCAATAAAGCTCAAAATCAACACTGGATGAAGCCCTAGTCACTACACAAACTCGTGGTGTTTGAACAGTACACTACTAAACAATGAGTGGGTCAAAGGAGAAATTAAGAAAGAAATAAAAGAATTCCTGGAATTCAATGAAAAGGACAATACAACACAACACAACCTCTGGGACACATTAAAGGCAGTCCTAAGAGGGAAGTTTATAGCTCGAAGTACTTTCATTAAAAAATTGGAAAGAGCCCAAATAAATCAGCAGAAGAGAAGAAATAACAAAAACCAAAGCAGAAATTAATGAAATAGAAACAAAGAAAACAATACAAAGAATTAATGAATCTAAGAACCAGTTTATTGAAAAGCTAAACAAGATAGACAGATCCTTAGCCCAGTTAACCAAAAGAAAGGAAGAGCAAATCCAAATCAACAAAATCAGAGATGAAAGGGGAAACATCACAACAGACACCCAAAAGATCCAAACCATTATAAGGGGATATTTTAAAAACCTATATGCCACTAAATCTGAAAGTCTAAAAGAAATAGATGGATATCTGAAATAATGGGAACCTCCAATGTTAAACCAAGAAGAGATCAA